TGGAGTAACGTGCATTCCCCACACTGGTGTTTCTGACCTCTGCTGCCTGACATTGGTGTCTGTGCAGTGGAGTGGAGTGGAGTAACGTGCATTCCCCACACTGGTGTTTCTGACCTCTGCTGCCTGACATTGGTGTCTGTGCAGTGGAGTGCAGTGGAGTAACGTGCATTCCCCACACTGGTGTTTCTGACCTCTGCTGCCTGACATTGGTGTCTGTGCAGTGGAGTGGAGTGGAGTAACGTGCATTCCCCACACTGGTGTTTCTGACCTCTGCTGCCTGACATTGGTGTCTGTGCAGTGGAGTGCAGTGGAGTAACGTGCATTCCCCACACTGGTGTTTCTGACCTCTGCTGCCTGACATTGGTGTCTGTGCAGTGGAGTGCAGTGGAGTAACGTGCATTCCCCACACTGGTGTTTCTGACCTCTGCTGCCTGACATTGGTGTCTGTGCAGTGGAGTGCAGTGGAGTAACGTGCATTCCCCACACTGGTGTGCAGTGGAGTGGAGTGTAGTAACGTGCATTCCCCACACTGGTGTTTCTGACCTCTGCTGCCTGACATTGGTGTCTGTGCAGTGGAGTGCAGTGGAGTAACGTGCATTCCCCACACTGGTGTTTCTGACCTCTGCTGCCTGACATTGGTGTCTGTGCAGTGGAGTGCAGTGGAGTAACGTGCATTCCCCACACTGGTGTTTCTGACCTCTGCTGCCTGACATTGGTGTCTGTGCAGTGGAGTGCAGTGGAGTAACGTGCATTCCCCACACTGGTGTTTCTGACCTCTGCTGCCTGACATTGGTGTCTGTGCAGTGGAGTGGAGTGGAGTAACGTGCATTCCCCACACTGGTGTTTCTGACCTCTGCTGCCTGACATTGGTGTCTGTGCAGTGGAGTGCAGTGGAGTAACGTGCATTCCCCACACTGGTGTTTCTGACCTCTGCTGCCTGACATTGGTGTCTGTGCAGTGGAGTGCAGTGGAGTAACGTGCATTCCCCACACTGGTGTTTCTGACCTCTGCTGCCTGACATTGGTGTCTGTGCAGTGGAGTGCAGTGGAGTAACGTGCATTCCCCACACTGGTGTGCAGTGGAGTGGAGTGTAGTAACGTGCATTCCCCACACTGGTGTTTCTGACCTCTGCTGCCTGACATTGGTGTCTGTGCAGTGGAGTGCAGTGGAGTAACGTGCATTCCCCACACTGGTGTTTCTGACCTCTGCTGCCTGACATTGGTGTCTGTGCAGTGGAGTGCAGTGGAGTAACGTGCATTCCCCACACTGGTGTTTCTGACCTCTGCTGCCTGACATTGGTGTGTGTGCAGTGGAGTGGAGTGGAGTAACGTGCATTCCCCACACTGGTGTTTCTGACCTCTGCTGCCTGACATTGGTGTCTGTGCAGTGGAGTAACGTGCATTCCCCACACTGGTGTTTCTGACCTCTGCTGCCTGACATTGGTGTCTGTGCAGTGGAGTGGAGTGGAGTAACGTGCATTCCCCACACTGGTGTTTCTGACCTCTGCTGCCTGACATTGGTGTCTGTGCAGTGGAGTGGAGTGGAGTAACGTGCATTCCCCACACTGGTGTTTCTGACCTCTGCTGCCTGACATTGGTGTCTGTGCAGTGGAGTGCAGTGGAGTAACGTGCATTCCCCACACTGGTGTTTCTGACCTCTGCTGCCTGACATTGGTGTCTGTGCAGTGGAGTGGAGTGGAGTAACGTGCATTCCCCACACTGGTGTTTCTGACCTCTGCTGCCTGACATTGGTGTCTGTGCAGTGGAGTGCAGTGGAGTAACGTGCATTCCCCACACTGGTGTTTCTGACCTCTGCTGCCTGACATTGGTGTCTGTGCAGTGGAGTGCAGTGGAGTAACGTGCATTCCCCACACTGGTGTTTCTGACCTCTGCTGCCTGACATTGGTGTCTGTGCAGTGGAGTGCAGTGGAGTAACGTGCATTCCCCACACTGGTGTGCAGTGGAGTGGAGTGTAGTAACGTGCATTCCCCACACTGGTGTTTCTGACCTCTGCTGCCTGACATTGGTGTCTGTGCAGTGGAGTGCAGTGGAGTAACGTGCATTCCCCACACTGGTGTTTCTGACCTCTGCTGCCTGACATTGGTGTCTGTGCAGTGGAGTGCAGTGGAGTAACGTGCATTCCCCACACTGGTGTTTCTGACCTCTGCTGCCTGACATTGGTGTCTGTGCAGTGGAGTGCAGTGGAGTAACGTGCATTCCCCACACTGGTGTTTCTGACCTCTGCTGCCTGACATTGGTGTCTGTGCAGTGGAGTGGAGTGGAGTAACGTGCATTCCCCACACTGGTGTTTCTGACCTCTGCTGCCTGACATTGGTGTCTGTGCAGTGGAGTGCAGTGGAGTAACGTGCATTCCCCACACTGGTGTTTCTGACCTCTGCTGCCTGACATTGGTGTCTGTGCAGTGGAGTGCAGTGGAGTAACGTGCATTCCCCACACTGGTGTTTCTGACCTCTGCTGCCTGACATTGGTGTCTGTGCAGTGGAGTGCAGTGGAGTAACGTGCATTCCCCACACTGGTGTGCAGTGGAGTGGAGTGTAGTAACGTGCATTCCCCACACTGGTGTTTCTGACCTCTGCTGCCTGACATTGGTGTCTGTGCAGTGGAGTGCAGTGGAGTAACGTGCATTCCCCACACTGGTGTTTCTGACCTCTGCTGCCTGACATTGGTGTCTGTGCAGTGGAGTGCAGTGGAGTAACGTGCATTCCCCACACTGGTGTTTCTGACCTCTGCTGCCTGACATTGGTGTCTGTGCAGTGGAGTGGAGTGGAGTAACGTGCATTCCCCACACTGGTGTTTCTGACCTCTGCTGCCTGACATTGGTGTCTGTGCAGTGGAGTAACGTGCATTCCCCACACTGGTGTTTCTGACCTCTGCTGCCTGACATTGGTGTCTGTGCAGTGGAGTGGAGTGGAGTAACGTGCATTCCCCACACTGGTGTTTCTGACCTCTGCTGCCTGACATTGGTGTCTGTGCAGTGGAGTGCAGTGGAGTAACGTGCATTCCCCACACTGGTGTTTCTGACCTCTGCTGCCTGACATTGGTGTCTGTGCAGTGGAGTGCAGTGGAGTAACGTGCATTCCCCACACTGGTGTTTCTGACCTCTGCTGCCTGACATTGGTGTCTGTGCAGTGGAGTGCAGTGGAGTAACGTGCATTCCCCACACTGGTGTTTCTGTCCTCTACTGCCCGACATTGGTGTCTGTGCAGTGGAGTGCAGTGGAGTAACGTGCATTCCCCACACTGGTGTTTCTGACCTCTGCTGCCTGACATTGGTGTCTGTGCAGTGGAGTGGAGTGGAGTAACGTGCATTCCCCACACTGGTGTTTCTGACCTCTGCTGCCTGACATTGGTGTCTGTGCAGTGGAGTGGAGTGGAGTAACGTGCATTCCCCACACTGGTGTTTCTGACCTCTGCTGCCTGACATTGGTGTCTGTGCAGTGGAGTGGAGTGGAGTAACGTGCATTCCCCACACTGGTGTTTCTGACCTCTGCTGCCTGACATTGGTGTCTGTGCAGTGGAGTAACGTGCATTCCCCACACTGGTGTTTCTGACCTCTGCTGCCTGACATTGGTGTCTGTGCAGTGGAGTGGAGTGGAGTAACGTGCATTCCCCACACTGGTGTTTCTGACCTCTGCTGCCTGACATTGGTGTCTGTGCAGTGGAGTGCAGTGGAGTAACGTGCATTCCCCACACTGGTGTTTCTGACCTCTGCTGCCTGACATTGGTGTCTGTGCAGTGGAGTGCAGTGGAGTAACGTGCATTCCCCACACTGGTGTTTCTGACCTCTGCTGCCTGACATTGGTGTCTGTGCAGTGGAGTGCAGTGGAGTAACGTGCATTCCCCACACTGGTGTTTCTGTCCTCTACTGCCCGACATTGGTGTCTGTGCAGTGGAGTGCAGTGGAGTAACGTGCATTCCCCACACTGGTGTTTCTGACCTCTGCTGCCTGACATTGGTGTCTGTGCAGTGGAGTGGAGTGGAGTAACGTGCATTCCCCACACTGGTGTTTCTGACCTCTGCTGCCTGACATTGGTGTCTGTGCAGTGGAGTGCAGTGGAGTAACGTGCATTCCCCACACTGGTGTTTCTGACCTCTGCTGCCTGACATTGGTGTCTGTGCAGTGGAGTGGAGTGGAGTAACGTGCATTCCCCACACTGGTGTTTCTGACCTCTGCTGCCTGACATTGGTGTCTGTGCAGTGGAGTGCAGTGGAGTAACGTGCATTCCCCACACTGGTGTTTCTGACCTCTGCTGCCTGACATTGGTGTCTGTGCAGTGGAGTGCAGTGGAGTAACGTGCATTCCCCACACTGGTGTTTCTGACCTCTGCTGCCTGACATTGGTGTCTGTGCAGTGGAGTGCAGTGGAGTAACGTGCATTCCCCACACTGGTGTTTCTGTCCTCTACTGCCCGACATTGGTGTCTGTGCAGTGGAGTGCAGTGGAGTAACGTGCATTCCCCACACTGGTGTTTCTGACCTCTGCTGCCTGACATTGGTGTCTGTGCAGTGGAGTGGAGTGGAGTAACGTGCATTCCCCACACTGGTGTTTCTGACCTCTGCTGCCTGACATTGGTGTCTGTGCAGTGGAGTGCAGTGGAGTAACGTGCATTCCCCACACTGGTGTTTCTGACCTCTGCTGCCTGACATTGGTGTCTGTGCAGTGGAGTGCAGTGGAGTAACGTGCATTCCCCACACTGGTGTTTCTGACCTCTGCTGCCTGACATTGGTGTCTGTGCAGTGGAGTGGAGTGGAGTAACGTGCATTCCCCACACTGGTGTTTCTGACCTCTGCTGCCTGACATTGGTGTCTGTGCAGTGGAGTGCAGTGGAGTAACGTGCATTCCCCACACTGGTGTTTCTGACCTCTGCTGCCCGACATTGGTGTCTGTGCAGGCAAGTCCCTGTTAAATCGCCTCACAAGTTCCCTTGTCCTGTTGCCCCACACCACATTGCCGTTTCCATCCCCTGCTGCCCCACACACAGGCAAGACCCTCCTGGCCAAGACACTGGCTCGGTTTGTCAACGTGCCGTTTGCCATTGCTGATGCCACCACCCTCACTCAGGTGCGTCGTTAGCGACTCTCACACATTCTTTCTTCTGCTCTGATCTCTCATTCCGTCTCTCTTGCTTACCCTTGTTTGCTCTCTGCCCATCGTCTGCCTTCCATCCACCTCCTCGCACTATTTGCTCCGTTTCTCTGCTCTGCTGTTGCTCCTAGTGCAGGCGGGGTATGTGGGGGAGGACGTGGAGATGATTCTTTATAAGCTGCTGCAGGTGAGGGATAGAAGGGGCTGTCGTGATTTTGGGGGAAACGAGAGAGTGTAGTGGCGTGGCGCTATTTGTTGTGCAGTGCAGGCAGGGTATATGGGGGAGGACGCGGGGATAATTCTCTATAATCTGTTGCATTATAGAGGGGGGTTCATTTATCTGTTGAATATCTGAAGCGTATTATACAAAGGACCTTTGTGAGATTGGTAAACAGTTGTGTGCTTCAAGTGTGTCTACAATTTGAAATGCTTGGGAGGTCAGCTCAGTCAATCAGGCTTATACGGCACAAGTGGGGGATGATGGAGGCTTGCTCTTTGTAACCCGGCCCATCCCCCTCTCTTCCCCCTTTCCTCCTTCCCTTACTCCTCCCTCCTCCCCCTCTCCTCCCTTCCTTTTCTCACTTCTTTTACCTCCCTCCTTCCTCCCCTCTGTTCCACCTTCCGTCTCTCCTCCCTCGTCCCTTCTTCCTCACATTCACCAATTCTCTTCCTCCTATGTGCATGCCCACCTACATGCTCCTAATGTGCATGCCCACCTGCATGCTCCTGACTGTGTGTGTGTGTGTGTGTGTGTGTGTGTGTGTGTGTGCAATGTGCATGGTGGTGTGTGCGTATGTGGTTCGAGCGACTGTGTATTTGTCATCCTCAGAGCGCCAATTTCAGTGTGTCAGCAGCACAGCAGGGCATTGTGTACATCGATGAGATCGACAAGCTCACCAAGAAGGTAGGCTTGCTAGCAGCATCAGCAGCACTGGCACTAGATAGGTGCTGCCTTGCACCTCGCCAGAGCAGCAGCACAACAAGGCATTGTGTATATTGATGAGATCGGCAAGCTAACCAAGAAGGTGAGTCCAAGAAAAGAGAATTCTCAACACTTTCTCACAACGTGTTGCTGTTGCCACCAACAGCAGCAGGGGTCATCTTGTATACCGACGAGATCGAAAAGCTGACCAGGAAGGTGAGTGTGAGAGCGCAATAACGGCAACCTGCAGTGCACTCTCACTTGGTGCTGACCAGGAAGGTGAGCGCACTAACGGCAACCCTCAGAACTCTCACACGTGGTGAGTGGGCTGGGCTCTGTAACTCGTGGATTCGCCACCTCTGGTACCAGGCCGTACTGAGGACTTTTGAGCTTCTTAGGCGTGTTATAATTGTTTAATGTGGGGGTGTAGCTCACATGGTAGAGCGATCGCTTTGCATGCGATAGGTATGGGGATCGATGCCCTGCGTCTCCAGAGTCCTGCGGTTTTGCACACGTGCCCTTCCCCGCACCCCGCACCAGGGACGTGTCAGGAGAGGGGAGGGGGTGCTTGCAGTGAGTTATTAAACCTTCCATTGGTTCCTCTTTCTCCCATCCCCTCGTCACCGTGCAGGCAGAGGCCATCTTGAGCACAAGGGTCGTTTCAGGGAAAGGCGTGTCGGAGTCGCTTCAGAAAACACTCATTCGTGCCTCCCTCTCCCTTCCCTTCACTTTCCCTCCCCTCGTCACCCTACAGGCTGAGGGCATCACAAGCACAAGAGACGTCTCAGGGGAGGGCGTGCAGCAGGCGCTGCTCCGAATGCTCGAGGGCGCTGTGAGTAGCGAGGGGGGAGTGGAGGGGGGGTGGGGGGGGGATGGTGTTATTTTAGCAGAGGTTTGGAGCAGGCATTGTTGAGAATGCTTGAGGGCGCTGTGAGTAGCGCGGGAGGGAGGTGGTGTGTGCAGAGAGTTCCTCGCTTACGAGGGTTATGGAGTGGAGTGTGAGGTGAGAGGGACGTGTATCATCAGGGGAGGGAGGGAGGGAGGGAGGGAGGGAGGGAGGGAGGGAGGGAGGAGTCTAGGGCGGGGCTGTGAATGGGGATTGGGCTTGAAGTTGCCTTTTGAGTCAGTACATAAACTCTTGTGGGGGTTTCCCCACCCCCTGGTTGCAGCTGATTAACGTGCCAGAGAAGACAGGGAGGAAGAACTCCAGAGATGTGAGGCGTCTTATAAGCCACACGCATGTGCGGTCTTTTCTCTCCCCCCCCCTCCTCTTCTCCCGGGCGCAGGTGATCAATGTGCCCGAGAAAACAGGGAGGAAGAACCCTAGAGGCGAGTTCATACAGGTACGGGCTGCAGGAATGCAGGGGTGTGTGGGTGCGGGGTCGCAGGGGTGCAGGGGTGTGTGGGTGCAGGGGTGACTTTCAAGGCGCCTCAAATGGAATGCAGGGGTGCGGGGGTGCGGGGGTGCGGGGGTGCAGGGGTGCGGGGGTGGGGGGGGGGGGTAAGATCGATACCGGGTGTTAGTGTGCAGCATGCATGGAAATCACAATGAGCATCACACATTGCAGAATGTTGTGCCGAGCAATGGCTATCTGCCTGCATCCCCTTGTGCCTTCTGCCTCTCTCTTAACGTTTGTGGCGCTTCAATACTTTGTCTCAGTCAATTCTTGCTGCCCGTTGCTCCTCCCCGCCAGCAGGGCACATATACCATTTTCTATCCCATTTTCAGCTGCCTGCTGCTCCTGCTGCTCCTGTTGCTCCTGCTGCTCCTGTTGCTTACTGTCCTCCATCTCTATGGCCTGCCAGACATTCCCATCCCATCCTATACCCAATGCCCCGTCTCCTCCCCCATGCCATCCGTTGCTGCACCCCACCCACCCGCCTGCCCATCAGCTGGAGATGGATTAGGAGTATTCTCTTCGTCTACCCTCCATTCTCTTCGTCTACCCTCCATTCTCTTCGTCTACCCTCCATTCTCTTCGTCTACCCTCCATTCTCTTCGTCTACCCTCCATTCTCTTCGTCAACCCTCCATTCTCTTCGTCTACCCTCCATTCTCTAGTGCCTGACCCCTCTCCCACGCCCAATGCAACGTGCATCATTCCCCCATGCCGCCTCTCACCTTTACCCCACCCACCCTACCAGCTGGACACACAGAGCCTTCTCTTCACCTGCCCTCCATCGCTATTGCCTGCCATTCCCCCCCTCACGCCCAATGCCACATGCCCGATGCCCCATCCACCCCCATGCTTCCTCTTTGTTTCCCCACCACACCAGCTGGACACGCAGAACATTCTCTTCATCTGTGGAGGGGCCTTTGTGGATCTCGAAAAGACAATAGCAGAGAGGTGAGGTGAAAGTATGAGAAACAGTAAGGCGAGGTGGATTTTTTTTTTTTTTTTTTTACACAAATTCGGAGAGTTGAGTTCAGCTGAGCTGAGTTGGATTGAGTTGAATTGAGTTGACTCATTGCTGAATACGATAGCAGGGAGGAAATGAGCAGCGGTGCACCGGTGCACCGGTGGTGAGAGGAAGTGAGCAATGGTGCACCAGTGGTGAGAGGAAGTGAGCAGCGGTGGCTCCAGAGCAGAATTGTGTGCCAAGAACGCTTGCTGTGCTACTGTCACACGACCACTCTCCCATGGCCAAGAACGCTTGCTGTGCTACTGTCACACGACCACTCTCCCATGGCCAAGAACGCTTGCTGTGCTACTGTCACACGACCACTCTCCCATGGCCAAGAACGCTTGCTGTGCTACTGTCACACGACCACTCTCCCATGGCCAAGAACGCTTGCTGTGCTACTTGCAGGAAGCTCAGTCTTCGCTGCAAGCAAGCACTGCAAGCACACATGATGCTGACTGTACTGCGTGTCTTGAATCCCACTATTACCTTACTGCGTGCAGGAAGCGCAAGTCATCAATCGGCTTCGGGGCCCCCGTGCGAGCATCACTGCGCAACCGATCGGTGCTTGACGCTCGCACTGCTGGCTCACTGCTGCAATCGGTGGGTGCTCTCCTTATCTCTTTCTCCTCCTTCTGTCGTTCTATTCGTTCTCTCAAAGTATTCCTTCTTCTATGTTCTCCCATTTCCATTGCATTGTTTACTGCCCCTTGCATGTCTGCTGTGCGTGCGTGCCCCCTTACTTCCTCCTTCCTTGTGGTTGGCATGGCAGTGCCAGGCAGAGAGCACGGATCTGATAGCCTACGGGCTCATTCCCGAGTTTGTGGGGCGCCTTATTGTACTATTGTTACCCCCCCCCCCTCACCCCTCCCCACCCCTCCCCACCCCTCCTCACCCGTCTCCATCCCTCCCTACTCCTCTCGATGCTTCCTCAAACGGCAGGCAGAGAGCACGGATGTGATAGCCTACGGGCTCATTCCCGAGTTTGTGGGGCGATTTGTTGTGCTATTGTTCAACCCTTCCACCCCTCCCCACCTTCCCCAACCCTCCTCCCATCTTCATTTTATCCAGGCAGAGAGCACGGATCTGATAGCCTACGGGCTCATTCCCGAGTTTGTGGGGCGATTTGTTGTGCTATTGTTCAACCCTTCCACCCCTCCCCACCTTCCCCAACCCTCCTCCCATGTTCATTTTATCCAGGCAGAGAGCACGGATCTGATAGCCTACGGGCTCATTCCCGAGTTTGTGGGGCGATTTGTTGTGCTATTGTTCAACCCTTCCACCCCTCCCCACCTTCCCCAACCCTCCTCCCATGTTCATTTTATCCAGGCAGAGAGCACGGATCTGATAGCCTACGGGCTCATTCCCGAGTTTGTGGGGCGATTTGTTGTGCTATTGTTCAACCCTTCCACCCCTCCCCACCTTCCCCAACCCTCCTCCCATGTTCATTTTATCCAGGCAGAGAGCACGGATCTGATAGCCTACGGACTCATTCCCGAGTTTGTGGGGCGATTTGTTGTGCTATTGTTCAACCCTTCCACCCCTCCCCACCTTCCCCAACCCTCCTCCCATGTTCATTTTATCCAGGCAGAGAGCACGGATCTGATAGCCTACGGACTCATTCCCGAGTTTGTGGAGCGATTTGTTGTGCTATTGTTCAACCCTTCCACCCCTCCCCACCTTCCCCAACCCTCCTCCCATGTTCATTTTATCCAGGCAGAGAGCACGGATCTGATAGCCTATGGACTCATTCCCGAGTTTGTGGGGCGATTCCCGGTGCTGGTGGGGCTGCATGCGCTCACAGAGGAACAACTCGTGCAGGTACTGACTGGTGCAGGTGATATCTGGGTAGCAACTGGTGCAGGTAGGAACAACCGGTGCTGGTGGGGCTGCGTGCGCTCACAGAGGGAACAACTCGTGCAGGTGGGAACTGGTGCAGGTGGGTACAGATAGGTTGGTGCAGTGCAGCAGCAACTGGGTTTGCAACTGGTGCAGGCAGGTTCAAGAGCAGGTGGCAACTGGTGCAACCAGTGTTGGTGAAAATTGAATGACCTTTCTATGCACCTCCATTTGAGTATACACACAGACCTCAATGGCTTTTCATGCATGAGTTGACATCACGTAATTTGTTTTCCTTTCGTATTCTCCTGCCCAGATAACCCACATTCTTAAACCCTGAAACCCTACGCCATACCCTCCCCCCTCCCCACCCTCCTGCAACTTCCCTGTACCCGTTCTCTCCTCTCAATGTGGCTCTCACTCTCAGGTTCTCTTAAAGCCCAAGAACGCCCTCAGCAAGCAGTTTGCAAAGCTACTGGCCATGAACAACGTGAGTGCAGTGTGGGCTGTTGCTCTTGGGCATGGGTATTTTAAATTTCTCTTAGCAAGCAATTTGCAAAGCTTTTGGTTGCAGAACAGCACTCAATCTTGCCTTTTATTCATCTCCCCATGCTCTCCCAACCCTCCCCTCCACTTACTCAAGCTCGTCTTCATATGACAAAGGGGACAGTGAGGGCCATTGCGCGCAGGGCACTGAAAGGATCTGAGAACTCTAGGAAGTTGAGAAAGAGAATCATTAACTACGTTAGAGAGAGAATTAGGTATACATAGAGTTGATGAGAAGGATGAAAGGGAAGGAAGGGAAGGTACCACTTGGAGAGTGGGCCAACCTATGGCCCATTGGGTTGGGTTGGGTTGGCCTCACTTTGGGAAGTGAGGCAACCTATGGCCCATTGGGTTGCATTTGGGGGCTCCACCACAATTGGGTTGGATTGGCACCCCAACATGCGAGACTACACCCAATGTTGGGTGTAGTCCCAACCCAACTGTACACCACACTTGGTGTACAGTCACAATTGTGTTAGCATGCTACAACATATTTCTAACAGGCGGCAGCGTTCATACCTGCCTCCTCGCGCAAGTCAATCACTTCTCCTCGTGCATATTTCTTCCCCTCTATTCTTTCTTGTCCCCCACTCAGGCCCGTCTGCATACGACGGAGGGAGCACTGAGGGCCATAGCCTGCTGGGCAGCATGCTACCTTGTTCCTTTACCTCATGCTCTCCTGTTTTTCCTCTGCAACCACTTACCTACTCAGGCCCGCTTGCACATGACGGAGGGCGCAGTGAAGGCCATAGCGCGCAGGGCAGCAGCACTCATACCTGCCTTCTCCCCATCCTCTCCTTCCTTTTCCCTTACTCTCCACTTACTCAGGCGCGCTTGCACATGACAGAGGGAGCAGTGAGGGCCATAGCGCGCAGGGCAGCGGCGCGCAACACGGGGGCCAGGGGGCTGCGGTCGCTGCTGGAGGGGCTGCTCACCGAGGCCATGTACGAGGTACGGCGGTCGCCGAGGCTGTGTATGAGGTACGGCAGTTACCGAAGTTATGCTCGAGGGGCTGCTTACCAAGGCTATGTACGAGGTGCGGCAGGTACCCGGGCTAGGTACGGCAGTTACCGAAGCTGTGTATGAGGTACAGTGGGTACTGCATCTACTGGGATCCCGACGTCACAGATTTCCAGTAGTCTGGCGGAGGCTGTGGTATTCGACAAAGCATCAGTGGAGCACGACGGGGAGGAGGGGGAGGAAATGCGGAAGGGGGATCACCAGAACCCTATTTCATCCACCCATCCCTACCATGTCTTCCCCCCCATGCTGAATCCACCAGGTCCCCCAGCTCTCTGGTGGCGGCAGTGGTGTTGGATGAGGCATCAATGGGTCACCAGTGGGAGGAGGGGGAGTAGGACTGGGTAGGGTAACCTGCTCCCTTCTTTCATCCACCCATCCCTCCCATCCCTGCTCTCCCTTGCCTGGTCTGCCATCCCTGCCATCCCCACCAGGTCCCCAGCTCTCTGGTGGAGGCAGTCGTATTGGACGAAGCGTCAGTGGGGCACAAGAGGGAGGATGCAGCAGGCTGCAAATGGGACCATCATTATTGCCCTCATTCCATCGCCCATCCATCATCCCTTGCCCCATCCCACTAGGTCCCAGCAGTCTAGTGGAAGCAGTTGTTTGTATTGGACGAGGCATCGGTGGGGCACGAGGGGGAGGAGGGAATAACCTGCACCCCGCTTTCATCCGCCATTCCTCCCATCCCTGCTCTCCCATGGCTGGTCTGCCATCCCTGCCATCCCACCAGGTCCCCAGCAGTCTAGTGGAGGCAGTGGTGTTGGATGAGGCATCAGTGGGGAACGAAGGGGAGGATGGGGAGGAGGGCGAGCCGGGGTGTGGGGCGCACATACTGCAAGGGGAGGGCGCATGGGAGCGGTGGTTGCAGGAGAATGAAGGGGGAGGAGAGAAGGGGGGAGGGAAGGGCGAGGAGGGCCAGAGGGGAGGAAGCAACAGAGGTTCATCTGGGGGAGGTGGAAGTGATGAGGAATCGGATGCAGCTCCTGCTCTTGCTACAGCCACTGCAGCTTGATCTGCCTGGTCGTTTCCCCTGCAGCAACGGTTTATTACGCCTGGTGTGTTTTGAGTCGACTTAATCACATGGGGATTCAGACTGAGCTCCTGCTCTTGCCACAGCCACCGCAGCTTGATCTGCCACCTCATCTCATATCCAGCATCTGTCTACCGCTGGTGCCACTTCTATCGTGTGGGATGTCGCCATGCTAGAGAGTGGTGCTAGGTATCGGTGTATCCTTGTCACTCGGAAGTGGGATTGCAGGATGTTTTCATCATCTGTGTGTATGTGCCTCCTCTCTCGCTCTGAGTTCAAACACTTTGTCTGCCTCTCATAGCATGTTTTCCTGCAAGAAAACTTTTATACGTACTTCATGTATAGCTTGTGACATTATGGAAGTGGTTTTTTTAGCAAACTGCGAGAATGTATGAAGCAAATACATGGCCGTGTCCGATTGAGAGCTTGAGAAACAATGACCAAAGCAGTACCACCATTATAGCAAGTTAACTGTAGTACAAGTCAGTTTCTGTTAACGGCCTCTAATAGAAACTGGAAACTCCTACATCGGGGAAATAGGCTGGAAGTTGGTGGCGGGTGATTTCGCAGGGCCGTGTTTGCTGGTGTATCGATGGTTTCCAGTCTAGTGAGTAGCGGTTCAAAGCGATGAGGCACTACAGAACGTATCCGACGCTTTTCACAGGTTGGGGGATTTTGTTACAATCTCAGAATTGACAAAGGTGATGACGAGTACTGAGGGCGCGTAACCATTTTGCATCCGACGGTGAAAACCGTGGGTCGTTGCAAGGTTTTCGCGACACCGCCAACAAAACGGATTGTCGTGACACTTTTTCCTATTTTAAACGGACCGGAATCCGAACCGTGGACTGTCCGAATCCTAAACGGACAGTCCGACTGTCCTTGCACATGACTGGCGCGCGATTAACGAACTATCGAGTTGCCTCGTCCACCGACTAAAACATGCAACACGACTTCGCAAATTGACATTGACCAACCAGAGAGAACCCATCGACAATAATGATTCGACAACGAGAATGTCGCAGCATCGTGAGCGGCGTAGCGCTTGTACGGCTGTCGCGAAACTCTACAATAGGGAAAAAAGTGGCACAACTGCCTTCGGACAATCCGAAGTTGCAAAAATTCACTTGGACAGTCCCGTTCCCGATAAGTGGACCGTCCGCTTCGTTTTAGCGAACTGTCCGTCAAAATCGTAAAATGCGAAATGGTTACGGGCCCTAAGTAAACCACTTCAGAACTCCAAGGTTACAGCTCTTTCTTGGACTTCTAGTGACGCGGTAATTCCAGAAACGCTCATTGACCACGTCCCACATAAACTTTGCTATTACTACGAGTAACGACCACGACAAATAGACAAGCACATATAGAGATACTAAAGGCCTCGCAAGGCAGCCAACGAGATAGTGAGATTCATTCCTCCTAATCTCACTCTTTGACCATGCATTTGTTCAGGAATCATAGGCCGACGAAAACGGATCACCGAGGCGCAGCGGGTAACCAGCCGGCGAAATTAGATCGTGCGATCCCGGCGAAATTAGACAGTGCGATCCCTGCGATTCTCCCGTGGCACGTGCTGCTGGTCCTCTTCGTCGCCGTGCAGGCCTACTCGCTCCGCACGCTAATCGTGTATCCGCCGTCCATTTTCTCTGCATCCGACGGTTACCAGCAGCACCACCAGCAGCTGCAGCCGCAGCAACAGCAGCATCAGGAGCGGGAATGGTCGGAGCGCGCCGATCCCGTTTCTGCGGCGGAGCAGGCGGAACTGGAATTGGAAGGCCCCCCGAACGGGGAGGCGGGAAGGAACGATGGTGGATCAGAGCGGAGCGATGCGAAGGGGTCGCGGGGAAGGTGGGGAAGGGTGGGGAGGGTGGGGAGGATGGGGAAAGGTGGGGGGAGGGTGGGAGGGTGGGGAGGGTGGGGGGGTGGGGGGGTGGGGGGGTGGGGGGGGGGTGGGGAGGGTGGGGAGGGTGGGGAGGGTGGGGGAGGAAGTGTGGGGAGGGAAGGGTGGGGAGGGAAGGGAGGGAAGGGAAAGGGAGGGAAGGGCGGGGAGGGTGGGGAATGTACGGTGCTCTCATTCCCTTCCTTCCACCCCTTCCTTCTCCATGTGTGTGGATTTGAGTCGACTCAAAAGCGTGCTCTCATGCCCTTCCCTTCCACCCCTTCTCCATGTGTGGAAGGATTCTTGACTTGTCGCTATGCCATTTGGCTTCCCAGTCGTCTTGATACACTATTTCCTGGTACATTCAAAACATTTCTCTGACATCTGTCCTGTCTCCCCTCCCCTCCCCTCCCCCCCTCTCCCCCCCTCTTTCCCCCCCCCTTGCCTTCCTCCGCCACTTCCCCCTGCCTCTCACCGGCCCCCCCGCTTTCCACCCTCACTCCCCCCTTCTCCTCATTTCCCACCAAACTAACGTCTATGTGGCTCCACCTCCTCTCAATTTTCCACCTGCCCGCCAGACACCTTCTCTCAGATCCCGGGCAGAAGAAAAAGAAGAGCGGAGTCACCACAGCAGAGGACGTGGATTTTTTTCTGCGCCGCCGCTTCCCTTCCTGCAAGCTGGATTACATCGGCGGGCAGCCCGGGCAGGCGAAAGAAAAAGGCGAGGGGATCGTGTGGCCTGTGTGCTCTGATCACCTGCGGCCGAGAGGAGTCGTTTACTCGTTTGGTGTTGGCCCGAACCTCCTGTTTGAAGGCGAAATGACCTTGAGAGGACAGCAGGTGAATAGCGTTTGCTTGAGATGGGAAGGGGTATGGCGTGGTTTGATGTGATTACTTGCGGTGATTTTTTAGGCGCCTCAAGAATCGCCCAAGAGAAGTCGTTCATTCGCTTGTTTGTGGGCCTGAATCTCTTGTTTCCAAGAGAGACGACTTTGAGACAGAGGACAGCAGG